GACAGAAAGAGAGGCCAATCAAGAGGTGCGAAGTCAGAATGGGTGCAGAGAGGTGTGAAATGAAACTTCCAATGAATGGAGAAAATTTAAAAGAACAGTAGTCTGTCGTTAAGAGAAGGGAGAATGTGTGATTCTAGCTGCAGAATAATTTTGGTTTCGATGGTCTTTCTGATGTATGAGTTCAGAAAACCGTCTTTGAGAACACAGATGGAGAGATTAGAGTGGTCGTGGCCATCAGAGGGGAAATGAGAAACAATGGGCTTGGAGAGATCTTTAATCTTCACAGCCCTGACGTGTTCTCTGAAGCGGTCTCCAAGTCTCCTTCCTGTTTCTCCTATGTAGATGGCTGGGCATTTATTGCAAGAGATACAGTAAATAAGGTTGCTGGAGGTACAAGATGCTGTCTGGGTGATCCGGAATTGTCCTGAGGGGCCTTGAATGAGTGTGGTGGTGGCTGTGTACTTGCAGGTGATACAGTGAGCTCTGTTGCAAGGGAAAGTGCCTGGTGTGGATGGTTGTTGAGGGTGGTCAAGGGAGCTGTGAACAAGGAGGTTACGCAGATTAGGTGGTCGGCGATATGAGATGATAGGGCGATCAGAAAAGAGGGCCCCAATGGAGGGATCATCCTATAGGATGGAAAAGTTGTGGTTAATGGTCCTGGGGATAGGAAGTGTGTTAGGGTGGTAAGGAAGCACCAAAGGAATGCGGTTGTTACGGCGGGAGTTCCTGATCGGGTTCATTCCCCATAATGACTTATATATACTAAGATTATTCCCCGCATTTGGGAAATTACTTTCTGTTCAAACAGAACAGTTATACATAGAAAATAACTGTATGTTTCCATAAATTTGATAGCAAGCTGACACTTCTGCTGGCCTTGGTAAGCAAAGAAGGCACTTAAGGTGCACAGAGGCTCCTTTGGCTTCTTTCAGTTTAAACATTTTTGAGGCAAGAGCTTTGTGGTGCTTTTCCATTTTTAATGTGACTCACGCACAGTATTGTACTTTGGTTTATCATTGTGCTTGTGGATTTGATGTTTTATAAATTAATGTTGTCTCTTTTTGGGCATCAGAATAATACATCACCAAAGTAAGTGGGCACATTTTACATGAGCCACTGCTTTACACAATAAAAATTGCCTCTTTTCAATGTTTTTAAATTGACATAAAAAAGATGTGCCTAATATATTGTTATCAGATTGTATCTCAACCCTCTTTACCCATTAGAACAGCTCTGTGCAATCCAGATACTGATGTGGTGGCACCTAGTAAACCCTTGTAATATGTTAAAGTATAATTAGTTTTACAGAGCTTTAATGAAAGTACTTTGACAATGAATAGAGAGTGCTATGCTCTATTTGCTCTATATATTGTTCTATATTTAGATACTTAATATTAATAAAGAAGTGCAGTGGTCCCATCAGAAATCTGTGTAATACTAAGTTAGTTACATCACCACGATTTGATAATTCAGTTTAGTTACCCAGCTAGTAAATAGATGAAACAAACAACAAAAAAAGTCTAGTTAGAGTCAGAAAAGAGAACAAGACTTTTGTTTGTTTATGTGTGTTGGGGGCATTACAAATAAAGGAGCAGAATTTTACCTTCAGGTGCATTTTGTGGTCTATTAATCAAAATCTACTATCCAAAGAAGTTTAACTACACCCTACCCCTGGATATGCCACAATGTTTATCTGTCACTTTCAAATGTATAATAGACAACTACAGTACATCTATACCTTTAATGTAATTAAAGCTAAATTGTAAGAAACCCATTATTAGATTGTACAGCACCTGTTTGTTTGCCCGCCCCCCATTTTCTTGTTTTTTCCCTGGATTTTTCAGTTTCCATCCACCAAATGTATATATTCTAGTTTTGATTGGGTTCATGCTGGATCGAGTGGGACACAGTGAGAGATATCAGTCCCACCATGTGCTCTGGCATTTTCTCTGGCCTGCAACAGCCCTCAACAGAATAACTGGCTAGATTAATATTATGCAATTATTATGCAATTATTATTTATTCACACTACACACTTTAATTATTTTTGCCATGTATGCATCTTAAAAAAGAAAATAATTTTGTAATTTTAAGAGATTTTTTTTAAATCTTCCACTTATTCCACAGAGCTGGGAGCCCTCTAGTCTTACTCAAGGAAAGATAGCCCCTCCTAGTCTTCTTTCATCAGAGCAGAATCTCACTACTCTCTGATTTCATAATCACAATAACATGCTCTTTAAAATCTGAGAAGTTACCCCCTCCTCTACATACAGCATAAACAATAACTCCAACTGCATTGTTTGTACTGTTTGTGCCAGTTTTTCTCTTTAAAATAATGATTTGTGCAGCTTTCATTTCTGATATATAATGGATGTGTTTTTTTATAGAGTAACATATTTCTGCTCTTCTAACAGTAGGAGAACAATAAGAAAACCTGCCATAACCATTTACTAACTGGTCATAGTAAAAAAAAATCATATTCAACATTTGTCTAATATTAGATCATCAAAAATGTAAAAACATACTTACATTTTGTAAGATAATTAGATCTGTCCTGGATAATAACATCTCAGAATGCTGAACAAAATGATTTCTGAAGACAATTAGAATAGAAATATTTGAAATATGTGATGACCACAGCAGACTACCTACCTAGTTATTTAAGAATTATACTGTCCTTCAAAAGCCCATATACTGTAACATCTTGCAGTGTTATGAATGTATGAAACAGCTTCCTTTTTCATTTCATACAGGCAGCAAAATATAATGCACAGTTTCAGTTATTAATCTAATGATATGAGTAGCCCAATGCATTTGCAATGTTTTCCGTATGTATTAATGATGGAGAAAAGCACACCGCATATTATAAAACCCAAGATAATATTATATCCCAAGATAGATAATATTACCCAAGTAAAATATTTGATATTGCCAAATATTATCACTGACAATTTGCAGGAAAGATATTTATCCAGCAATATTTGTATCACATCACTTGGTTTTATATTTTGTATAGAAGGTTTTATTCAGATTCATCATTTAGAAGATGAAAATTGTTTGAAACTGATTGAAAACCCTCTTTAACTCTTAGGTAGATGTTCAGGTAGCTGGGCACTTCAAGTGGATACTTTTTCTCTTCAGCCTCTAGCAAACTAAAAGTGCACCAACACAATTAAGTTGTTAAAACCCAGTGAAAAACATTTATTTACATAAAGAATGAGACAAAACATGTTCATAAGGCCAGCAGCCAGAAAAGATGGGCAATTCCAAGACCACCAGGAAATACAAAATAACGCCTTATCCATGCTGATGGATACTACTTAATCTACTACTAAATCTTCTGTGTGTTACCAGTAGTATAAAGCGACACCTTTCGTCAAACTTTTGACAGGTACCACGCCCCCTTTTCCAGCCAATGGTCGTCCGCAGTGGTTGGTTGTCCCGCCCCCTTGCCATCCAATGGTGTGTTGTTATTTGTGCATGTCCGATCCCCTCAGGAGCCAATGGTGTGGGTCGGAACTCCTGCCTCCCCCCGGCCGGTCGGTCCGGCGCCTCAGGGTCCCAAAGCCCCAAGGCGGCGCATCCCTCGCTTTAGGTGTGTGAAAGTGTGTATTGGTTTGGAAGGGGACCATGTCTGCCGCGGGGTTGAGTGTGCTCTATTATAACCCTAGGAAATCGGGTAGTTACGGCAGCACGGGGAGTCTGGTGCGGGCCGCGAGATCCCGGGGTGTGAGCGGCGGCAGCCGCGGCCGGGTGGCCGAGTGGTTGTCCGGCCAGGCTGCTTATACGCTGCACAAGCCGTGTCTCAAAAGCAGCAGGGGTGCAAGCACACACACACACACTGACTGCGTAAAGTCTCACGGAAAGAATTCCCAGGACAAACACCATGTGAAATGTGAACTGCTTTATTTCAACAGTGGGTTTTCAAACACCGAAACAGCACTTTTTACACAAGTTACAGACTCCAGTTTGCAAGTATGTGAAATGTTATTTCAACAGGGGGTTTTCAAACAGTGAAACAACGCAGCACACATGCGTTACTGGCTCCTGTTTGCATTCAACAATTAAATGATGGTGCGGAAAATTAGTTCGGTACACGTAACCACCACCCCAACATTGCTGAGAAACTTTGCAGTATCTGAAAAAGCATTCATAACCCCCTTTCTTCTCCCCGTGTCTAAAACCCTGCAACCACACTGGGCGATCTGATCTAGCAGGGCAAAAAAATTTGCCTGCGTAATCAGCGGGATGGTGTTACCACAGGTTCTGTGCAAAACACGCTGTATTTTGGAATACACACTGTAGAACCCCCCAGGCTTCCTTTTCTGATCTGAAAACATCAGATCTGCAATAATTTCACTCAAGTTATTGACATACACATCTATCTCTTTAACAAATTTAAGGACATTGGCATTCGACTCTTTGTTTTGCATATCAAGCTTTGTAGAGAGAAGTATGTAAAGCACTCTTAGTAAGAATTCAGACGTACTGTATACATTCGAAATTCTTCATTCTTCGGACGATGGCACACCCGGGTCTGTAAAACAGAGTGAAATCTGTATTCACATTTTACGTAGATCTTTTTTTTGCATCTGTAAAAATAAGAATAGTGTTTCTTTTGCAACTCATCAAAAGTCACGTCTACTAATTTTTCATCCAGCTGTTCAAGTGTGGTGTGTACATGCTCATATGGGGAGCGGTCCTCAATTATATTTTTTAGCAACTGTTTTATGCGCCGCTCAGTGTCATTTGTCATTTGTACGAACCCAGACACCGGGTGGTGTACAGAACAGCCGATAAAATTCGGGCTAAACTGAGAGACTTATAAATTTCTCAGTTTAGCGGCAAACGTCTTCAGACCCATCTGTGTAGCCGCCAGACAGGCATGTGTGACCCTGCTGCCCAGGATGGTCAATCAAACAGGCCGGGCAGTCATCAACCAGGACCCCCTTTAAACAGTGTTTGAAGATGCAATAAACTACTGCTTTCACAATCTGGGGCATAACATAGGGCTCATTAGGGACATAGGCATCAGCTTTATTAACATTTGGGCGAACACACAAGCATAGACACGAGACATTCACTTGTGCCGGTAGGCTGAAGATTGACCCGTCCACATCCTCTTTATTCTATTAAAGGAAAAAGAAAAGGAAGGCTTAACAAAATAGACATGCTTTGTACCTAAAATATCAAGCATTTAACGCACTTTTGAGCTAAGATTGTTCGTTAATATTTACCATTTGTAGCGTGGTATCATCGCTAGCACCTGGCAGTTCTTCAACATCTGGTACCCCAGCTGAACTCACACCCCCGCCGCTGTCACAGGGTGCAGAGAAGACCAAGTATTAAAACGACATACACTAAGCACCGATAAAACAAATCCACGATCAGAAAAAATATTTTAGCCGCCTACCTCTTCACTTTGTAGAGTAGCAGACCCCGTTGTTTTTTCACACAAAGAAGCCATCTCAGCACCTCCGTGGTGTCTGACAGCTCCAAGTACGCACTGCGACCCTGCCAGGCCGGAGCGTTTAAGAATATGCGCCAATGGTGTAACACGCCTACATAACACAAGACATTTTTCAATTGGTTGTGATGCTTTAAAACGCATCACAACATTGGTTGTGATGACCCCCCCCCTGATTTATCGAGAGCGAAAAGTATTCACATATCAGGAGACGGGCGGTGTGTAGGGGGTTAGTTAAAGGCTCTGGAATGCAGAGTGGAGGGGGAAACCTCCAGGGAAAGTTTACAAACATTTTAAATTCATGTAAAGTTTTCTAATTTACAAGCACCACATGTATTTCACGCAAAAATGTTCTTAACATCGCAGAGCGAAAAAATTAAAACCTCAAAACGTCAAGCTTGGTTTGTGAACACGTCCCTATAAAGAACAGATACATTTTCTTATAGCGTTAATAAAAAAAACATTTTGTTTGATAATATTCTTAGCGGTCTGTTGGTGAATCAAACACAGACACCGCGGCACATTTTCACCACGTTTAACAGCTATGAAATTTAGACACCATTGTATGTCTTTAAATAATATAGATTTTAACATTATAACGGTCTATATTCACTTATCAGTTTATAAGTTTTAAAGTATTAACACACAATGCAAACACAAATGATGTGTTTCCCCAGAAAATAAATTTTAAGCACGCGGGGTTGGTCTTAAAGTTTTTAAAATAACGTAATAAGACACAGTTTATTTTTAATATCACATTCGCGACAGCTTTTTCGAAAGTTTGAGATAAATTTCCACACATCGCAAGCGTAAAAGCCTTTAATGTATTAACAGGCAACAAATGATGGGGTGTTGTTTTTCATACTTTAACGGATTGGTCCTAAAGTTCTAAAATTGTTTCCCAGTAGAGATAATTTGTGATGTTATAATGTTTCTTTATTTGCCCTATACAATTTCTTGCATCAGGAATGCGTCTTTTCGCATACCCCAGCTTTTCTCCATGGAGACACAGAGACAGGGAGAGTAGCCTGGGGTCAGAGCGCAGGGTCTGCCATTGTACGGCACCCCTGGAGCAGTTAGGGTTAAGGGCCTTGCTCAGGGGCCCAACGGAGTAGGATTCCTCTGCCGGCCGCAGGATTTGAACCGGCAACCTTCCAGTCACAGGCGCAGATCCTTAGCCACAGAGCCATTGGAGACGGGTGGTGTGTGGGGGTTAGTTAAAGGCTCTGGAATGCAGAGTTGTGGGGGGGGGAGAAACCCCCAGGGAAAGTTTACAAACATTTTAAATTAATGTAAAGTTTTCTAATTTACAAGCACACCATGTATTTCACGCAAAAATGTTCTTAACATTATTAAAAAATAAAACCTCAAAACGTCAAGCTTGGTTTGTGAACACGTCCCTATAAAGAACAGATACATTTTCTTATAGCGTTAATAAAAAA